ACCCCCCCCCCATTTCCCCAAGTTGAAAAGACCACATGGAACTATGGGAAAATATACCCACAGGGTCTTTGACAAAGATGCCCCCCCCCTAGCTGTCCCCTTGAAAGCCAGCAATAACTCTAATGTTCTCCAGCAGTGTGTCATTGTGGGGACGGGGAGAGATTTAGTTTGCAAGACCCTCCCTACGTCCTTTGAAATATTGGAGGGCATGATACTTCACATATTGTTTGCCTCCGGCACGCAGATTTTTTGTGCCCGTACACCCACCCACCCCCACTTTATGTATGCACATGCAAACAATGGTGTATCCTTGGCCTTCCAGGTGTGTATTCAATGTTCGCTTTGCAGTCCCAGGATTAAGTGCTTAATTTTTTTTTTTCTGTTCTAATTTTGCTTCTGGAAAGTCCCAGGTGTTGGTTTTTTTTAGGGTCATAAAAGAAAACTGATAATAATCAGGACCAGTCTGGGCAGACTTTCCAGATATGAGTTTCCTGTAAGCACTTTGTTATCTTTTTTTTCTTTTCTTTCTTAACAAATATACCAGTTGAACAGGAGGGATCATATGTACTTCCGAACAAACAGTGCTGGTCTACAAAGTGCCATCCGTTTTCCCCAGAAGCAAAAGTTTCAGCCTTAGAGCCTCTCTTTATTAGCAGCCAAATTCAAATACTGCTGCTACCTTCATTGGTTATACTTCAACACTCCCCCAAACCATTTTTCTCGGGAGTCCCCCTCACCAAGCCTGTGTTCAATAGCTAGTAGCCACCAGCTATCAAGGACCATGGTTGTTCCTTGGAACAAGGATCTGACAGCTTTTGGTGCCTGCGAAAGAAACATCTTTAGGGAAAAGTCTAGAGCAAAGACCATCTCCTTGTTTTTCCACCACCACAGTATTATTGTATGATATGTTCATAAGAACATAAGAAGAGCCCTGCTGGATCAGACATCTTTAGGGAAAGGTCTAGAGCAAAGGCCATCTCCTTGTTTTTCCACCACCACAGTATTATTGTATGATATGTTCATAAGAACATAAGCAGAGCCCTGCTGGATCAGACATCTTTAGGGAAAGGTCTAGGGCAAAGGCCATCTCCTTGTTTTTCCACCACCACAGTATTATTGTATGATATGTTCATAAGAACATAAGAAGAGCCCTGCTGGATCAGACTAGTGGTCCATCTAGTCCAGTGGCCAACCCATTTATCTGGAGGGCCAACTACATGACATAGAGGCCAAGGCTTTCCCCAATGTTGTCTCCTGACACTGGGATTCAATCAGTCAATCAATCAGAACATTTATTGGCATGTCAACACTGGGATTCAGAGGTTGATTGCCTCTGAACATTGTTCCCCTCAGTCACCATGGCCACCAGTAGCCACTGTTAGATCTAGCCTCCATGATTCTATCTAATCCCCTCTTAAAGCTATTTATTCCTGTGGCCATCAGTACATCTGCTGGCAGTGAATTCCACATTCTAATCACTCTGTGTAAAGTATTTGTTTTTGCCCGTCTTGAATCTACTACCCATCCGCTTCATTGGATGCACTCGAGTTCTTGTGTTTTGAGAGAGGGGAGAAAATTCCTCTTTGTCAACTCTTTCCACCCTGTGCATAATTTTATAAACCTCTGCTGTGTGTCCCCCTTAATCATCTTGGTCGCTCTCTCTGTGTTTTTTCCAGATATCACTTGTTGTTACCCTTTCTTTTTAAAAAAATCCTTTGTCTCCTAGGCTGCGAAGAAACAGCTCTTCTGACAAGCCCACCAAGACCAAGCAGCGCCTCACCAAAAAGGCCGCGTCCTCGGCAAACCTCTTGA